GCTCTGTCACCCAGGCTGGAGTGCAGTGGTACGGTATCAGCTCACTGCAACCTCCGTCTCCCAGGTTCAAGCAATTCTCATTCTCATGCCTCAGTCTCCTGAGTGGCTGGGACTACAGGCATACACCACCATCCCCAGCTAATTTTTTGTATTTTTAGTAGAGATGGTGTTTCACCATGTTGGCCACATTGGTCTCAAACTCCTGGCCTCCTGGTCTCAAACTCAGCCTCCCAAAGTGCTGGGGTTACAGGCATCAGCCACTGTACCTGGCCTTATTCTTTTTTTGTGCAATATCAATTTAAACAAAAGGTAAAATGTCTGCTTTGAATGTTTTTATATACGTTAAGTTAATATGTACGAGCATAATCTTTTTCAGTATTTGAGAATTTTACCACCCTTCTAAATTTGTTCTATCTTTTCTTATCTAAATTCAATAGTCCACAACTGTCACACTTGGTAATTGATGTTTATTATAGTAAATTTCATATGTCATAATTCAATATGTTGCATTAAGGTGGCTTAATACTGTGAAACTCACATGACTCTTAATGTAGTTAGAGTAATGGTAGGTACTCAATCTCAAAGCCTATTTAAAAAGCTGTGCTTGAAGTTGTATATCCAAAGGTGCACATGAAATATAAAATATTTGAATTAAAATTTCTACAGAATATGCATTTAGAATATGTCATTACTGATCATATATAGTCATCCATCACTGTGTATGTGTGTAACTCACTGCTTATTTTGCTTTTAGAACCTTTTGCCCAGAGTAGCAGCCAAACTTGAGGTTGCCCCAATTTCTGACATCATTGCAATCAAGTCACCTGACACATTTGTGAGAACTATTTATGCAGGTGAGTACTCAAGGAAGATAATTAATCGACATGTTAAATTTTAGTGAAAAGCATAAATTAATCTTGAAGGTAAATTTTAAATCAAGCCATACAATTGCTTTAAGTGGACCATCTTAAAGGTTTCTGAGGAAAATTTTAGTCTAGAATTGCTGGTGGCCCTTGACATGTCATTCTCTTTGATGGATCTCAAGCACAGCGATTTCCTGCCTGTTTATTGAGTTTGTAGAGTGGTATTTTCCTAGTGGTTAATAAAAATTAGATTCACTATTTAATATATTTTGTGAGTGGTACCTGGAAAAGCAAAACTTAAAAAAAATAGTATTCTCAATCTTTGCTTCTTCTACTTCATTTCCATCAGCATTAAGAAATTCATTTTAGCCAGCT